TCTGCAAAAGTCACATCACTGGATCTGCAGGAATTTTTATGTGCTTTTAAGGCTTGTTACAGTAAGATTTCAAGCTAATTTAAACTATTTGGACATAAAAAATGATAAAGTTCACCACCTTAACAAATTTTTATTGTTTATTTATTTTTTAAAAAGCTTATACGGTGTTACTTTACATTTGATTATTGCGTTTCTGCACCTCTATGCTGTTAGACTTCACAGAAGGCCATGAAGCACTGTTTTTTGTAGCATTGTTCTATTGTTTTCATCAGTGCTTAATTTTATTTTGTATATTTTACAGCATTTTATGCAGAGCCTCTTCCCAACAAAATCATCCCAGTCAATGTAAAATATGAATTCATTACAAATAAAGTTACTCAATGTGAAATCATATTCATGTCGCAATATTTACTGCAGAAAAATGAAATATGGCAATGTCAGTTTTTCCCCAATATCGTGCAGCCCTATTGTGTCCTATGAGTGCACTGTAAAAAATATCAGTCAATTCACCGTATTTTGTGTATCATGTTTTATTTAATTTATTTATTTCCCCTTTATTTATTCATGCTTTTGAATCGCATAATGGGACCTTGATCTTTTTTTCCAACCATTTTTAACCTTGAAAAGTTTTAAAGTTATTTTATTGACATTTTCATCAGTTTAAAGAGATAGATTGTCTGCGTTGGTGTTGTATATTACAGTACACAAACCTTGTAATAAGCTGCCAGCACATTTTCTCTTATTTTCTTATTCTGCTATTTCTTATCCGTTATTTTATTATTGCAAACTACTAAAATGTCAATAAACGTCACTTTGTTAAACTGTAGAGTTGAATTTTCAACACCAGAGCAGATATCAAGGTCTCATAATGTAAATAAACAGTAAAACACTTGAAAACTTGTTAATTAACAGATATTTTTTACAGTGTAGGTCATCCATTACTGTAAATAACCTAACAGTACCTAATTAACATAGACAATAATATAAAAATGTGAATATTCAATTGCTTTTAAAATTAAAATATCACAATATATCAGGATTTATACATACATTGCACAATTAAATTCCAGGACCTTTAACAACGTTTTAAGCACTTTTTGTTGATTTTAAGGACTAAAAAGAAATTCTAATTAAAATACATTTAAAAGGTTCTTATTCACTATAATCTATAGGCCTATAGCTTTTATTCTGAATGAAAAGATTTGTGTTTTATCACAAAAAAACTGTTCAATTATTTAGAATTTCATCTGCAGTTATTTTGTGAGATCCATTGGATTGTGTCATACTACAAGGGTCAGACCTCAGTTCCTCTTTGTTTTGCTCACATTTTTTATACTGTAGCAGCAATGTGATACCTTCAAAAAGTTCTGCACATTTTTTGTGATTCTCTTTCAGATTGTCTGGTAGATCGAGAAGTCTATAAACAGTGGTCGGAGCCATTTCCAAGTGGGTGGGACTTGAGCTCCAAGTGGGCGGAACAAACCTGGAGTTTTTATTTATTTAATGTCTTGTACATGACACAGCCCAGCAAACAATTTTGTGTTTAATAGACGTCTAATAGACATCTAAACGTAAACGGCTTAGCTAAATCAAGGCTAAACTTGGAGTGAAAATCTATTAGACATCTAAGAATAGCCCAAAACTAGACTTGTCGTCAAACAGAATAAAACTTTATGTGTAGTCATTAATTTCTGTTTATTTGATGACTAGTCTAGTTTTGGCCTATTCTTAGACGTCTTTTAGATTTTCACTGACAGTTTAGCCTCTTTTTTAGCTAAGACGACTATGTTTAGACCAGGTGGTTCTCAACCTTTTTCACTTCGGGGCCCACCTCCTTCTCTGATAAATCTTTGAAGGCCCATGTCTGGCATTTTTTCTTAAACTGATAGAGAAAATGCTTATTTTAAACCTTTATTTACAAAAACATTTCCTTTGCTTGTACTGTTAATATATTAATTTATAATATCTTATTTTTCTACAGCGTATTCATATTTAAAAATGCCTTTTCCTTAATAAATGAACCTGTACAGGACAACAGATGACAATTTTTTTTTTTAATTGGACTAACTACTATTCATCCATTGATCTTATCCATTAAAAAAAAGGATATTTAGGATATTATTGGAGTTCGCTGACAACTGATCAACTGTTTACAAAAACACCACCGCTAGATCCTCCTGCATAGGCGTGCGTCTGTTACGAAACACTCAAACTTCATTCATTCATTCATTTTCTTTTCGGCTTAGTCCCTTTATTAATCTGGGGTCGCCACAGCGGAATGAACCGCCATCTTATCTAGCCTGTTTAATGCAGCAGATGCCCTTCCAGCTACAACCCATCTCTGGGAAACAACACTCAAACTTGCGTTATAAAACTCTAATTTGAACAACTATGCTGATATTTTGAAGAGTTCACACAAAGAGAGCACGCCTAGTTTGTAAATCAATGGAGATGTGCGACTCTGATACAAGTCGCAGATGGAGGCACGCACTAACTGGTTATAACTAATTATCGTTACCTTTACATTTGTGTGATGGTTTGCTTTATACATATTAGCATGTAGTTCTAGATAACGTGCAGGGGTTGGAAGTGCAGCCCGGCTTAAGTCTGTAACCGACAACAATAACAGAAAACAGAAATGCCATAACACCAATCATTTTTATATAAAACATATTTAAATTATTATATAGGTCATATTTAATATTGAAATCAAATAACTATAGTACAATAATTAAGTTTTAAGCTATCTTGCAGGATAGCTGAGGCCCATTAGTTGAGAATCACTGGTTTAGTCACCTATTAGACATCTTTTAAAAACACAAAATGCTAGCTGAGAGTCCAGAAATCTGTATTTTTAACGTCTACACCTACCCCAACGTTAAACATAATATTATAGTAACCTGTTGTATTTTTTAATGTCTACTACACCTACACACACCCTAAACCCAGCTCATTTACAGCGTAAGTCCACATGGAGGTCACCCAGCCTACTTGCAGTAAAATCCCTCCCACTTGGAGGTCTCCGGGCTGCTGCAATACCTACTTGGGTAGAAACACTTTGTAAATCTGTTGGAATCAACACATTCTCACTCCTCACATATTAACACTTGGTCAGGAGCCCTTGGCATAGTGCCACTTTTTAATGCCCTTTAAGCATTATTAAAATGATCTAGAGTACTCCATTGGTGACCCAAAAAGAAACCTTTGTGTCAACACCAAAACTATGACATTATAAAATAGACAACTTGTATTGTATTCCGAGTCTTCTAAAGCCACATGATATGTTTATTTAAAGAATTGAGTGAAACTAAGTGCTGTTAGTGATCTCACTCCTTTTTTCATTCATAAAGTAGACCTGCATTTCACAACTGCAGATGAAAGACATGCCAGCTAGTGCAATCTCACAATCAAAGCTGACGTAATGAAATTGCTATGTGTGCATGTTGATGCCGAGGTTTCTCAATGAAAGCAATTGCAGATAACCTGCATGCGGAAAAAAACAAAGCTTAACCAGTTAAACTCTGCTGCTATTTTGGGATTTCCGCCTGGATTTTGCCAACCCAAATTTAAAAGCCTCCCAAATCCACATGCATTATACATATACATGAGGTGTAAATGCAAAAATTTGGTATCATTGTAAAGAAAACCCTTTGAATTTTCATAAAACACAATTGAAAGTGTTTAAGATAACTGTATATGTTGTCTGTGTTATGATAAACACCTAAAAAAAAGAGGCGCTTTTTGTATTTTGGTTTTATAAACTCAAATTTGAAAGTGTACCTTTTAGGTTCTGCGTGCTCTAGCGTGCTGTAATTAATTTTGGTGGTTCCTGTACATGTCTGTAATCATAGAAGAAGAAGAAAATGCCTCCACCATAATCTATGCAAAAGTTATTGCATTCTAACTGATGAGAGCTGCTATACAAGCCACGGGGATCGATCATTGTTTTCATATTTCACTATTCTTTTGTTTGATCAAACATAATTCACTGTGTTTGGACCACATCAGACATATAAAAGGATTACTTTTGCACATCACCTCAAAAACAGACGAGAAATGGCCCTAAAGCACACAGCATGAGACGACAGCTGTCTGTGTTATCTGGGGCTGCTTATTGATCATAAATGTATTGTTTTCACTGCTGCGCCAAGGAAACACTGCGATTTATTCGACAACTGTTTGATATGTGAATATAATTCAGTAAAAAGAATGCTAGAACCGTATGAGCACCAGCAAGAGCTTTCATTTGAGCTATAACTTGTACATGTGTCATATGAAAAATATGAAAATTAACCAATGTTCAATACTCAGCTCGGGTATCCAAAAGACAGTGTATTTAAGTGTAAATAACTTTTGTAGAGTAGAATAAAAACCAAAGTGATGCATATGTGCATAAAATATAGATTCTACACTTTCAAACGAAACCACTTACAGGGGTCTAGTGCAATGCTAGCCCTTTAAATCTGAAAGCGAAAGTTGATGACGTCACAGATGCGGTACCGGGTCCGTGCAGTTTAAATTAAGGTGTCCTGTGTGCTTAAAAGTGGCACAGAGGGTTCCTGACCAAGCCTCATTATGTGATCACTTGTTAGTGGGAATGTACTTTTTTCTAACTATGGCTGTTTTTGAGGATTTTCTAGTACTACAAATTCAAAGTCAAATTCACCCACTTAAACCACTGCTGTACAATCCCTGGTTAATGTAAAGGCACGATTAATTAAAGTAGTGTCATGCAGTAATGCCATTTCTACACTGTAAAAAAGTGGACTCAACCTAAACATGTTAAGCAACTTTCTGCACAGCATTTTGAATTGACTAATCTTTTAACACAAGTACTGCACTTGGCTCAATTTAAGTTGTCAGCTAAAAAAGCTCTGCAGCGAGTTGCCTTACAATTTTAAGCTAACCTTTTTTTGTTCAGCGTAGAGCAGGGGTCACCAAACTTGTTCCTGGAGGGCCGGTGTCCTGCAGATTTCAGCTCCAACCCTAATCAAACACACCTGAACAAGCTCATCAAGGTCTTACTAGATATACTTGAAACACCCACTGAGGCAAGTTAGAGCTAAAACCTGCAGGGACACCGGCCCTCCAGGCCCGAGATTGGTGACCCCTGGTGTAGAGGCTCAATAATAGTTTAATTTGACCTGTCAGCACATTAACATTCATTGAACGCATAAAAAAGCCTAATTTAAAGCAAAGAATACAACTGCTTTCTACTTGAAGCATCTCAAGCCATGCACAATCACATCTGTTATTTAAAAACAAACCAAGAATAGTCAAGTTTTTCATGATCTCCCTGAGGAGTTGTTCCTGCTTTGAGGTCATCTCTTGCAAGTTCATTAAATGATAGTGTTTGGAGGACTTTTAATCTTGAATATTACATAGGAAACGATTAACAGGACTGCCAACACGACGCCAGCGATAACAATGGCCCAGAATGTGGTCCTTCCTGTGGGAGAAATGACATTAGTGGTTTTACCATCAGGTGAATGCATCGACAGCTTCCTCAACAAAAGCAGGACTCTGCTTGATTTATTACAAACAAACAGCAGCGGTCGTCCTGGAACAGCCTGGCAGGAACACAACACTACTGGACGGGTAATAACAAGAGACTATTGTTGAACTGTTCCTTATTTGCATTTGACTAAAGTGCTTGACAAATGACTGAATGTAAATGTAAAGCTTTTTCAAAACAACCTGTAGATAAAGAATGAACGTTATAATAAATCAAAACTGAAATTTACAGATAATCAACTTGCCTAAACATGCTAAAATCATACAAACACATGCTTGTTTGCATCCTCATTTCCAGGGTTTTTTGTTTAAATGCTTTATTCAAAACTTAATACAAGCCTAGGTCAACCTTTGTAAGATGAATTCATTTTTAAATGACATTTAAATAACATAGGGATAACATTTTACAGGCCAATCTATGAAATAGCCATTAAGGATGCTTTCACACCTAGATTTTTACTTCGAAACCTGGTGCATTTCCCCCTTAGCTCGGTCCGTTTGGACATATGTGAACACGGATCATCACCAAATCAATTGTTAAGTCTCGGATCTGATGAATCGAACTCTGGAGCGGAATGACTGTAGTGAGAAAGCATTGTGATCCAACAAACTAACCAACCAGTCTATTGCACAGTGTATTATGGTCATGTAATAGCTCTATATGGTTATATGCAGAGAGAATTATGAGTAGAGTGGGATGTCATTCGTACCGGTAAATGTGCGTTTCATGTCAATTACGAAAGTGAAATATTACTGATTTCTGTTTATCCATTAGGAAAATTCTTTCCATATTTTAAACATATAATATTTAGTATTAGGCCGATTCCTGCAGGCACAGGGAGTCAAAGTATGTCATATTGACGTTGTACCTCAACGTGGTTGTACCCCGTCATGGGGACGCTGGATTGTTTGGAAATGAAAATCGGATTGAAATCAGAAGTCAATGTCAGGCTGAAGTCAATTTCCAACGTCTAACCTGAAATCAACCTAAAATCAACTAAATATCAACGTCTAATCATGTTACACCTTGACATTGTGTGGACGTTACCACTATGAAATCTAACAGACATTGGATTTTAGTCCCTTTCCAACACAACCAAATATCAACGTAAATTGACATCGTTCTTGGACGTCAAAATTATGTCCTTAGATGCTGGTTAGTCATTGAATTTTGGTCACCTGATGTCATGACCTAATATTAATGTCTTATGATGTTGTGTGCCTGCTGGGATTTTTTTGCTCATTTCTGCACTGACACCTCAAAAAAAAAGATCAACATTGATCTGCTTCATGATCTGACTCTTGGTTTATCTGTTATTTAAATTTAGCCAATGCATTGAAGCTCATCACTAATAATGAAAACAATTTTTATTTTTATTTTAAAATAACAAATTATACGTTACAAAAAACGATCGATAGATCGATTGACAACTGAAATGACGCTATGTACAGGGCTCAGCACAATTAAGTACACCCCATTTTGAAAACGAATATTTTGATCCATTTCTAAGTGAATATAGGCAATGTATTTTGGTGCATTTAAACAAAACAGATTTATTAAACAGATATATTTATTAAAATAATATATTAGTCACTAAACATTTAGAAATTGAAAGATAATACAATTAAATTCAAGCATAATATTGCAAAAATAGAAAAAATACAACCTACAATATTTCAACAAAGTTTTTTGTCTATTTAAAATTTGTATTTAATATTTATCAGCATATGTATGTTTCAAAATGCACATCATGATTTTGCCAAGTACGATGTGATCCTGGATTAACATCTATGTTGATCCTGGAACATAATTTTTGTACGAAAATGTATTCCATACCTATTCCCTACCCTAAATCCAACCGTAACGGGAGGGGAATAATAGTTGGATAACAATCATGTAGAAGTGCATAGAACTAACTGTAAGCCCAAACTTAACATAAACGGTAAATGTATCCCTTAATCTTGATTAGCTGGTTGGAATGTTGCTACTAGGAATGGAATGTCCTACACTAGTACATTTGTAGCAGTCTGCCTTACTAACCTAAATGAGGCCATTAATGTAAACCACCCTCGTGACTAATGCTGTGTTGTCTCAACAGACCAACAGATACTGTAGTAGCCCATCATTCATTCATTCATTTTCTTGTCGGCTTGGTCCCTTTATTAATCTGGGGTCGCCACAGCGGAATGAACCGCCAACTTATCCACCTGCAACCCATCTCTGGGAAACATCCACACACATTCACACACACACTCATACACTACGGACAATTTAGCCTACCCAATTCACCTGTACTGCACATCTTTGGACTGTGGGGTAAACCGGAGCACCCGGAGGAAACCCACGCGAACGCAGGGAGAACATGCAAACTCCACACAGAAACGCCAACTGAGCCGAGGCTTGAACCAGCGACCCAGCGACCTTCTTGCTGTGAGGCGACAGCAATACTTACTGCGCCACTGCTTCGCCCACAGTAGCCCATCAAATATAAGTTATGTAGTGCTTGTAGTACAGCCCATAACTTAAGTCAACTTATGTACCATGTGAGATAGGGGCCTTCCCAGGTATGGACGGCCGTCTAAGATTACACCCCTGCCTCTGAGAAAGGCATCCTTTGTGAATCTCAATGTTGAACTGCAGGCTGATGTATGAGGTATTACTGACCTCATATCAGCCCGTTGTCAGTAGATAGTTTAGAAGACAGATGTACTGTTGTCACATGGGGTCTAGTATGCTTCACCTATAAAAGCAAACCCAGAGGAAACTAAATATGTGAATACAATAATTTAGGCCTACTGTGGCAGAACCACCTCTTGACTGGGTCTGAGACAATGTGTTTGAACTAATATTCAATATGGTTAGCGGAAATCCAAGACTGGACGCAATCCGCATCCTTCTTGGAAACTATAAAATAACAACTAAAAACCCAGCCCTCCTAAGGAAGGGAAAGTTTTTCTGTGAGCATGCAACAAAACAGGGCTTTACAGACGCTTAAGAGCGTAGGAAGATTTGGACAGTAACACCAATTTTCCATTCCCCATCCATCATTCTCCAGTCAATTCCAGACTTTGGACAGCTGAAAGAAGCCAAAGACTTTTTTATTTGTGTCAGATTTATCTGCTCCTTGGCAGACATGCCTATTGAATGACCAACAGAGAGGGCTGTTTGCTTGATGGCTCAGCAGAGTAATTTATGACTGGTAGACACTGGAAATGTTAGTGTAAAAACCACATGCTTACATCTACTCACTAGTCCACCATGTCAGTGTATTTATGATTGTGCTTTTGCAATCTATCCTAGATCAAAATTTAAGAGAATATTTATTAAAATGAAGACAACAAGAATATCATAAGCTTGATGATGGTGATCTTCAAGTCACGTGACAGTGGTGTGGCTTAATTATAGCCTACATTTACCTTATGACTATTGTTTGAAGGGATGAGTTAACCCAAAAATGAACATTCTGTTATTATTTACTCACCATCATGTCATTTCAAACGTCTGAGACCTTTGTTCATCTTTAAAAGACAAATATATATACAAATTTTAGATGAAATCAGAAATCTCTGTGACCTCTGTCAACCCAAAGACATCCAAAGTCCAGAAAAAGAGCTGAAAACATTGTCAATTGACTTTAGTGGTTAAACTCTAATCATATGAAGCTCCAAGAACACATTTGTACAGCCAAAAAAATAGTAAATATGACTTTTTTTTTCTTTCACGTCGCCAAGTTGCACGTATTACTACAGGCAATACTACGTAATACTATCAGGAGTGCAACACACAAGTTTTGTATTGTCTTGGCAAAGGTATTTTTTTTTTTTTGGGAGGGGGGGGGGGGGGGTTGAGGAAAGAGATATCATAGGAACAGAGAAACTTCAACTTAAATTAACAAAGGTCTCAGGGGTTTGGAACAACATGAGGGTAATTCAGTGTGTGCGACGAACAACCGTAAATCCAAAATAAAAAAAAAATGACATAACCATGTGACATTAATTGTATGTGTAAACTTTACACATATCACATATTAGTGTGATCAAGAGTCTGCATTTAAGTGAAGTTTATTTATAAACAAATTTCGAGAGGATCACGTGATTATGATGGTTCACAGCTGTTCCAACTTTAGCTAACGACTGTTTATCCTATCAGACAATCCTTAACTCACTATAAATAACCAGACTTTTCTCATCTCAATATCTTCGTCTTGAAGAAACGCCTCACCCAACCATACTTTCCCTCCTTTCAAACAGGCGACACGGTGGCCAGCGATTAGCGCTGTTGCCTCACAGCAAGAATGCCCCTGGTTTAATTCCTTTCCAAACCAGACGGCATTTCTGTGCGGAGTTTGCTCGTTCTCCCCGTGGTCCCGTGGGTTTTCCCTGGGTCCTCCGGTTTCCTCCCACACTTCGAAAACAAGCACTCTAAACAATTAATCCAAATACTTTAGCTAAACTCTGAGTACACCTTTCAGCATCCATATCTGACACTTGGCTACAACAAGCAAGAGGGGGAGTCATCGAGATCTACCTGAGCTCAAACTCCCCTCTCGCCTTGCAACAGGAGGGAGCCCAGGGCTCGAGGATCTTATAAGCTTAGGGCTCTCTCTCGGGACAGCACGCCAAACTAGCTTTATTATCAATCATCAGCTAAGTGTGAACTCTTGAAACATTAAAATAGAAAAAACGTTCATGTCCACTAAGAAGATACTTGCTGTTATGTCCGTTTCGGTCGTTAATAGGCAGATCCTCAGCAAAAATAGGATAGCCGACTTTGAAGCATGCTGGGAAACCATATTTGAATCGAAGAGGAGAACAAAAACTTGAGAAAAATTCACTAAAAAGAGGTGTGTGGAAGAACCGTATATGTGATATAATCTCTCTTTCTCTAAATATGCTGAGGAGAACTTAAACTGCACAAAAACAGAAACCTATCAAAATAAACCACATTCCATATGCAGTTGAAGTCATAATTATTAAAACCCCTGAATTATTAGCCTCGTTTATTTTTTTCTCCAATTCCTGTTAAACGGAGAGAAGTTTTCTTCAACGCATTTCTAAACATAATAGTTTTAATAATACATTCATAATTCATAACTGATTTATTTTATCTTTGTCATGATGACAGTAAATAATATTTGACTGGATATTTTTCAAGACACTTCTATACAGCTTAAAGTGACATTTAAAGGCTTAACTAGGTCAATTAGGTTATCTAGGCAGGTTAGGGTAATTAGGCAAGTTATTGTGTAATGATGGGCTGCGTCCGAAACCGCATACTTACATACTATATAGTACGCTAAAATCAGTATGCAAGCCGAGTAGTATGTTTGAATTCATAGAATTCGAAAATCAGTAGGCGAGAAGTACCCGGATGACTTACTACTTCCGGCGAGATTCTAAAGTGCGCATCCCATGCACGCTGCGCTATCCCATAATGCCCCGTGAGAGAATTCATGAATGGAACTGAGGCGACGCAACTAACGCAGGTAGGTCACATGACCATAACAAAATGTAGGATGTAGTACGTCCGAATTCCATTCATACTTTTCACATTCATACTGTATAGAACATACTTTTCTAACAGCCAAGTAGTACGTTTAAATTCAAATGCAGTACCTACCTAAATGTTTTGTAGAATTAAAAACTGCTTTAATTCTAGCCGAAATAAAACAAATAAGACCTTCTCCAGAAAAAAAAAAATAATAATAATATCAGACATACTGTGAACAATCACTGGCTCTGTTAAACATCATTTGGGAAATATTGAAAAAGGAAAGATAAATTCAAAGGGGGGCTAATAATTCTGACTTCAACTGTACAAAAGCTGTCTCAATGCATATTTCCAGCAGACCTGTTTATCTAAATAAACAATGCATTTTTTGGATTTATTGTTGTATTTATTTACTTATTGTTTATTGTTAATAATTGATTGTTATTTCCTGTACTGTAAGAAAGTCTATAAACATTGTTTATACTGTATTTTCTGTTTTCAAATAATAATAACAATAATAATAATAATAATAAAACGTGAAACAATTGCTTAATATTAACCTGATGTTTCTGTTACCGTATTAAAGATAAAGGAATCAGATCTTTAGTGGTTTAAAGTAATATGATGAAATGGAGTTATACTGTTATTCCATCCTAACTAGCCATATACTGTTCTTCCACATTTGAGAAATATAAATCACAATAACTTTATATTTCTATACACTAACACTGGAAAATGAAGTGCAAAGCTGTTGTTGTCTAGCTTCAAGTGAAATAAAAAATATATTATATAATATTCACACTCCAAATAAAAAAATATTATTACTTACATTTTGAAAATATGGATTTGTTTGGTTCTTTGTCTATTGGCCTCAATTAATAAAATAATTTCCAAAAAAAAACTGGGCAAAAAAACTGGGCAAATTCAACTTCAAATTCCAAAAATTGAAGTTGTAAACTTTTTAGATTATGAAGATTTGCTCTGGAGCTTATCTTCTTAATCCAAAAGCCAATGAAAAATGTATTTGTTTTAAAAATATATGTTTGACTTTTGAACTGGTCAACAAACCTGTCATTGTTGCAGTGCTCTATTGATCTATTGACTGTGACAATCAGTAAATGTGCTTAAAGCTGAGATAGACATTGCCTGAGGGTGAAGAGTAAGATTGGTGTTAATTCAATCAAAGCTGACCTGCAGAACTGACGATGAACACTTTGCTGCTTGCTCCCAGATCGTTTGTGGCGGTGCAGGTGTATTTTCCTGGACTGAGTGGGGAGGACTGGATCACTGGGGAGCTGATCTTCTCTTTCAGATGCTCTGAGTGCCATGTGTACACAGCAGCCGGGTTTGCCTTCACTGTACAGTTTAAATAGACAGTATCGCTCTGACTGATGTTCTCTGCTGAACTGGAGTGTTGTGGTTTATCTGAGGAGGACAGAGGAACATTTCTCAGCACTACAGCAGACATGATGAGCAGCTGCTGTTAATACATCAGTGAAATTACTGTATATCTGACTATTTTAATCTATTATTCAATTCATTATTAACTATATGATAAAACTGATGACTGCTAATACGCTGAACTCATAATAAACAATAAATAAAATAAATAAATAAATAAATAAATAAATAAAAACTTGCAAATTTAGCAGTAAATAAGCTTACAGTGAACATCAATGCTGAGAGGTTTTGATGTGTTTTTGGGAGGAGGTTGAGGTCCTTCTACTCCCAGGTTCAGCTCTGTTTCACATCTGTACTGAGCTCCATCATCAGCTCTGTCTGGATGGATCAGGAGTCTAATTATTTTATTGACTGGACTCTTGGTGTTGTCAGTGAAGTTGGTTTGATTCACCAGAGTTTCTCCTTTGTACCAGTTGATGGTGAGATTCTGAGCAGGAGCCACATTATGAATGTCACACTGGAGCTCATACTGGTTTCCCTCTGTCATTATTTGATTCACAGTGCTGATGGAAACACTGTCTGGAGTCTCTGTGGAGGAAGATTCACACACTCTGATACCTGCAGTCATCAACTTACATTTATTAGAGATTTCTGAGAATGAAAAGACACAGATAATAATTACAGAGGAACTCACTGTAAATAGTGACTGGGAGAGGTACTTCACACTGTTTGCCATAGTTTATGTAGCAGAATGGTGGCTCTATCTTCCAGTCTGTCAGCTGTGACACTCTCCATGTGATCAGATTAGCTTTGGACAGGGGCACTCCTCCCACAGTGGCTTCCCATCCCATCCCATCATGTGTGACAGAAGTGTTGCAGTTTGCTGAAGCCGAGCTATTAAACCTCACAACAAGTTTAGGTGGGTTGATTTGAAGAGGACATTCAGCATTTGTACCTGTAAAACACATTTGAGAACACAGAATAATGCACACTGGATCATTTACCTGACAGACTGAAAAAAAGACAATGCAGTCTCATGGTAGGACACCTCATGTTAGGTAGAAAAAATTTTTGATCTTTATTCTTGATCAGAAATTGAGTTTACTGACCAGCTGCATACAATATATGTTTTTTTTTTGATTTTGACTAGTAGTTTTTGTGTGTTTAATAACAAAAATCTCATCAATTCCCTTTCATTATTAACGGGGTGGCCCACAACAATATCACATTTGAAACTTTAGTTGATGTGTAATGTACCTGTGCAAACATAAAACATAAACTAGAACCTAAAGTTTCTTGATTAACTTTGATGTTGGCTTAAGAAAGCAAACGTGACTGCGCTAGGACTGGGAATGGCAGTTGGCAGGAAGCACGGCGGCAGTTGCTAAAACAATTATGGCATTGTTAGGTGGTTGCTAAGCAGTTGCTAAATGGCAATGCTCGTGTACATGTTTGATCAAATGCTAATACTTAGTAGGCATTTCTAGCATATGGTATTGCATTTAGATAATCATTCATAGCATGTAGCTAATCGTTATTAGCACTTGGCTTCCATTATCATTGTTACCATGCATAGTACACAGGAAGTCCCATTTGCTAGCATGAGTCAAACAAGCCAATGCCCAGGTCCCTACGATGTTCTGATGTAGAGATATTGCTATTTTTAAATGGTTGCTAGGTTATACTGTTTTATTGCTATGGGGACATTTGACAGGTTAATGATGATACATCAAAGCTTCTTGGCAATATGAGTGATCTTAATCAACCCCAATGTTTCTATGACAGTCTTTATGAGTGTCAAAAACTGGACTTGAACATTATGTATTCCTGGTGTTGGGTTGCGGCTGAAAGGGCATTCGCTGTGTAAAACAAATGCTGGATAAGTTGGCGGTTCATTCCATTGTGGCGACCCCTGATTAATAAAGAGACTAAGGGAAAGAACATTATGTAAAAATGGCTTGCCATATTTTTTTGAAAAAACAATGCTTAATAAGTGTGAAAGTGATACATGCAAAAATGGCTTGCCATATCAGTAAAAAATATGGAGTTTAAGTCAAAAATGGCTTGCCATATCAGTAAAAAATATGGAGTTTAAGTCAAAAATGGCTTGCCATATTTTGAGAAAAATAATGCTTAAAATTATTTATTGGAAAACTATAAGTCTGATAAACCTTAAAGATACAGCAACAAAATCTAACGCATCTAAATACAGCTTTTGGCCTAATTTGGGGCTTGTATAATTTTTTTATATGCTCGGATTATAAAAATGTAATATTTAACATTTTTTATTAAAAAACAATAAGTCTTATAGGCATGAGGAGATATAGCAACAATCTTGAATGTAGAAGGCACATTTTGACCACATTTGGGCCTTGTGGCATGAACGACCTAGGAGGAGATAAGTTTGTTTTCAAGGACAGAGTACCATAACAGTATGTTGGCTTTCTCAAGCCAACATAACAACATCTCTGAATGTAATATGCTCAAAGTTCAATAGAAAGGGAGACATTGGCTTTTACACAGTTAGCCGAGCAAAGCCTACAGCAAACAAAGACTGGGGACTACAAAAAATACATCCTAAATGCTTAAGGTTACGCGCATTCATCAGGTGCATACACCCCACACAGTGAAGGGGCGTGGTCAGAGGCACTGTAATATAGCAGAGAAAGCTAAAATGGCATCCAAATGCTGCTATTTCCACAGAGCTTCTTCTGTTTCTGCATTTGGGCTTCCAAAGGACACGACACAAAGAGAGAAGTGCTTACAGTTTCAAGTATTTTTCAGAGAATTATAAAAACTTATAGCTAGCATTTGACGAATGAGAACTTCCAGAATCTCCCCCAGTTCAGTGCTGCATTCGGCTTAAAACTCCTCAATGAAGGAGCAGCTCCAACCATAATAGGCGAAGCTGTGATTGTGAGTCACAACCTGTAAGTTTTTATTTGTTAAAATGTATCAATTACATGCAAAATTTCTAGCATTAATGGTATGTTGTAATAAAAATGTAAAAAAAGATAAGGAGGAAATGCTGTTTGGCACCGCTAACAATTTAGCTACAAATTCATATTTATCAGTCAAAGCACTGTAAACAGCCACAATCTTCAGCAGCGCTGCAGTGTGTCTCTATGCGGCCGCTTTCCTTGTGTTCTAAATCTCCAATAAAAAACTTGTAAAAGATTTGTGAACATTTTATATCACTTACACATGCCTATTCTGAATATATATGAAAGACACTTGTCAGATTTTATTTTAGAGAGCAGGCATGAAGTTCAGCTGTGTCCTCTGTGTCATTTTTTGTCTGATTCAGGCTAAAACTGATACTGCTAACAGCTACTCTAGCTGCATCCCAAATCGCATACTTATGCACTATTCTACGTCATTTTGTAGTATAAATAGAGCAAGTAGTGTGTTCACACTGAAAACTCTAAAAGTAATAAGTGCACTTTAATTACCCGGATGATGCACTCATACAGCCGGTAAAATGAAGTGTGTAATGATGGACACTTCACGCACTCAACGACCGCAGGTTTGCTCACATAGCGGTAGGGGCGGAGCTATCGGGCGCACATGTTGGATAACTTTTTTTGTTTTGGATGGTGAAAGCAAAATTCTCCTGCGAGAGTGATTATAGCGCCGCCCAATGGTGAATGCGGTTATACTCATGGCAGGTATTATTTGATAGTTTGCGCATTTATTTCACTGATTTGGCAACCGTCAAACGTCATCTGGGAAACAGTTTGAATTTCCGCTTAGTAAAAAAACAATAGTGCTCAATTTGGGACAACACTACACACATATACTATGCTGTTGAGTGTGTAAGTGCATAAGTGCATAGTGTATGAGTGCATAGTGTATAGTGGGATGCAGCATCTGACTAATTGTTTACAAAGCGCAAAAGCGCATGCTTGTAGGGGCGCAACGGATTTCCTGGTGACATGAAGCCGATCCACAAATCATAGCACATTATATTAGCTGACCAATCAGAGCCTCTTGAAGACGGGCTTTCGAATGAACCAGGAAATATGTAGTTTTCATGTTAGCTGAGTAGCTGTATATAATTAAAGTAAGATATATGAACAAATAACATGACTTTCTACAAGAGAAGCATGAGCACTCATTGCTTTGCATCTTTTAAACAAAACCGAGCCTTAAAAATACACTGTGGACCACCCCTTTAAAGTGCTTTCCTTATAAACACATTTGAAAGCCTTTTTAGGTATAGATTGATTTAACATATTTTTGTTTTATACTCTATCCAGTTAGTCTTACTCAATTAATTTGCACTTTTGTACTATACTACAGTCCCAGCCAGTGTTTCCAACCTATTTATGTTTAGTGTATGTTGTTACTGAAAATAAATTTATATTTTTGAAAACATGAGACCTGTTGCACAAAACACGTTGAACAAACACTGGTTTTTAGAATAAGCTCCCCTAAGTGGGTATTAGCAAAGTACTTTTAAAGGGTCACGAAATACCAAAACACATTTTGAGCTGTTGACAGTCGTATATGTGTCCCACACTGCTAAAAACACTTAGGACACGTATATTTCACTAAAAAGTGAAAATTGGTTGTTTTAGCGTTATTTCAATCAAATTCGTATTTTTGGTTTGAAACAAATTTTTGAACCTGTGTCATGGCCATGAGATCTTAGCGTGTGTTCCAGTGTGAAGACTGGACGTCTGTACTTGGGAGTCCCGTATTACGTCTCTGAGTGTGTTGCATTCATTCATGAGTATGGCTTGGTTCAAACCAATCAGAGCGCTCCATTATGAATGCGCTGCAACTTCATTAATATGCATGCTAGCTTTCTTAGACTGTACCTGAAACAGTGTTCAGACGGTAGAGAGACGACATACGTCGTGTTGCCAAAAGTAGTGGGAAAAGAAGAAGAAATGTTTGGAGATACGGGTCGTCAGTGTTGCTTTTATAATTTGCGGCAGTGAAGGTTTTGTTTTCATTTTCTGTCTAAGAGAGCGCTGCAGGACTCACATGTGGATCCGTGCAGAAATACATTTGTTTGGAACATTTTTTATTCGAGAGCTTTTTTCATCAGGAAATTGTGAGATCTGGATTTGCTGCTCGTCTCCTTTAAAAAAACACGCAGCTCCAGTATGTGCTGATTGTCCTGTCTACAGATTTGGTACGTGTGTGCGATCAGCGCCCTTTCTTCGTTTATTCAGATGGCAAAGTTATAGCTCATATCGTCAGCAGTACTCTTTAAGTGTTTAAAGATAGACCTTAGTCAAAATGATTTCTAAGTTACTTAGTTTACGTTAACATCACTACAATATTATGGACTGAAAGATCCACTGTAAATGCTGCTCTCTGTGTGTAAACACGTGAACACTTTAAACAAACTATTGCAGACCATCGTGTTTAATTTTCGCCACATTTTGTGACAGGATCGTATACACACACGGCTTTCTGACCTACCGAGTGCATCTGAGTTACAGAGAAATGCAGAGGTTTTTTTCTCTTATACGACGTGCAGTATCAAACACACCACCTTCATTAAAGACTGTCTTTCTCCCCTGCTTGTGTGTTTGTTTTTCCTCGATCAGAAGCGCGTGCCCAAAAGGCAACTCCCATTTCCCACCCAAATAGAGATAGACACACCCACTTTCCTGACTTTTTCCAAACAAGAAAATGGGGGGAATGGGGGGTTTCATGGCCCTTTAAGGCATTCCTAGTCTTTGGTATTAGCCATGCCTCCCTTATTCATCTCCAGATAGAGCAGAATGCTGCTGCTCGTTCGCTGACAGGGACACGCAAACGAGAACACATTACACCCATGCTGGCTTCTCTTCACTAGCTTCCTGTTCAGTTTAGGATACATTTTAAGATTTTAGTTTTGGTGTTTGATTGCCTCAATGGACTAGCACCAAGATACCTGTCTGCATTAATTAAATTGTACGATACATCAAGGGCACTTAGATGTGCTGATCAGCTACTTTTAGCTGTTCCACACACAAGGTTTAAAACCAGGGGAGACCGTGCCTTTGCAGTTGTTGCCCTTAAAGTATGGAATAATTTGCTTTTCCGTGTTAGGCAGGCCACAACCCTTTCTGTTTTTAAATCTAGTCTTAAAGTCTTTGGTTTTTAATACCATATGAGTCTTACATCGTTTGTATTTGTCCTTTGTGTAAGAACAAATACAAACCAACCCTAATTAAGATGAGGTTAAGAAGTTTCACAAAGCTTTATACTTTCTTTGTTAACTCTGGACCACTGAAAGTGTGACACGTGCAGCAAACAGCCAATCACAAAACAGTTTGATTCATTTTTCACAAGTCATTCAGTAATTAAATTCTCTGTTGAAAAGTGACAGGTATCAAGATGAGAAATACAATGCATTTAATATTGAAATAAACTCTGGAGATGTAGTAAAGTTTAAGAAGGCAACTAAAAGAAAATATTATTATAATATCTGTGCAAATCAATCAAGATAAAGTAAATTCACATGTAATTATTTAAAAGGTCATTTGTATTTTAATAAGATATTACCAGGGCTTTCTTGTACAGAGAATTACAAGGTGGCCACCTCCATCAAATTTTGTACCACCACCTTTTGACAAAAATCAGAAAGACGGTCATGGCTACTGACAGACCCCAAGTGATGCTCAAGCACAGGCCATGCCCTTACAAAAATAGCCTACAGGAATCCTGCAGGATTTATTTTATTTATTTTTTTTTGCAGGAACCTGCTGGTATCCTGTAGGAATTATGAAATCCTGCAGGACAAATTGACAATATGTGCAGTCAATTCCTACAGGTTTTAGAATCATGCAGTACTTTCTGCAGGAATCCTAAAGGATTATTTTTTTCCCTGCAGAAAAGCTGCTGTCCTGCAGGAATTATAAAATCCTGTAGGACACATTGACAATATGTGCAGGAATTTCCTACAGGTTTTTACAATGGATCCAAGCAAGTGACAAATCCTGCAGGATTTTATAATTCCTGCAGGACTTGCAGGAGTTATTTGTTGTAATTGGAATGAAAGAAAGAAATTATGTCACTTATTGTTGGAAGCAATACAATATGAGTTCTAACAGATAAACAATACAACAAACAAACAAAAAATAAGAAAATAAATGCATAAATAAGTATACAAATAGATCACAGGCAATTATAAAAATCAACCATTACACTAAACCATTCAAATTATGCAAATTTTTTGTGCAAACAAAAAAAGCTTTACACTTTTACGTTTTATTTCTATACTTTTTTTTTATTTATTAAAAATGTCAATCCAGCTTTCTATTTTAATTCAACTTCCATCTGGTTGGAGGCAAAAAAACAAAACAAAACTGCAAGACCTGTCCTTGAGGTAGATATTGTTATTATATTTAATATTATCTTTTTAAGATGAAAGAATAATAAAATAATAATAATAATAATAAATAGTTTAAGTGGCAAAAATGTCAGCAAAGGAGCATTTTGATTCAAAAATCTAAACTAATCTGCCTTCCTGACCATCATTTTTTTAAGTTTGTCAAACTAAGCACAACCTTGCCTGGATAAACCCAAACCAGCTGTGTGCAACAGGTTAATAATTGGACATTTAATAATTTAAATGTCCAATATCATTATTAGACGTCATTAACCTTTACATTTCTGAGAAAGTAAACATACAGTAAATCTATATAATAATCTAAATTTAGGCAACTAACGTTATATAGTTACACATGGCTTTCTATGTACATAGGTTACCTGTTAAAAGTCACACATTGAAACACATTTGTAGAAATAGGCTATCAACATTAAACTTTACAATAAACACAGTGTTGTCATATCTGCAACTGCATTGACATACAGATCCAAACAAATGCAGCTGCAGAATACTTAATATCACGACTCATACTATATATATCATATTACAAGCTGTACAGTAGCCTAAATATAGGGTACAGTAATGAATTAGCTTTAGAACTCAAATGACAGCATTTTAATATACTTAAAGCATTATGGCTAATAACGCTTTCACTACACGTAGCCTATAGAATAAAGCGAACTAAGTCAACAAACCTTTGACAGTCACAAGCAGTGTTACCGCGGAGAAAAGTCCCAAGACGCACTGAAGCATGTTGTAAAGGTTGAAGCCCCGCGGCGTCGAGAAACCCCTGAAAGGATAAATAAATAAATAAATTTCCCGCTCGCCACAACAGTCAACTCTATCGAATGGCCTTTCAGTCGCTACTCCAAAAAACCGCACCCAAATCACGAATAAATATGACTTAACCCAGTCAAAAGCACCTATGGAAATGAAACCATTGGGACATTTCACGCAGGAGGAGGAGGAGGATCCACAGGCGCGGCAGCAAACTGTACATGTTGACAATGGCTTAACGCGAAATGCCTTCAGTACTTTCACTTAAAATCGACAACTTTTCAAAATGGTCACGCAGATAAAACTAGACAGGCAGCCTCACCGTCAGAACAGAACATGAATTAAATACTTGTTTGGACGAGTAAATCGGCATTGGGTCGAAATGAAACATATGGGACAGATTAAGTTTTCCCTCCCTGATCTGGTCGAATAATGTTGAAATTTGGTTAAACGGGCTAATAAAACAGTGTTACCATAAAAATATACGATCATGTTTTTGAATCATACTGTAGTAAGATGTATTATATTGTGCATAATGTGATTATTGCTACAGCATACTGTATTAACAATACTGAGTTATACTATATACTATATTTATATATGGTAGATTTATTATGGTCTATTAGGCCTGTATAGCCAGCCTATGAAAACATGTGGTTCTTTTTTTTTCCTCAAAAAGATGACCTTTTTGCAGTCATTCCCTGCTGAAAAATCCAGCTTAAACCAGCCTAGGCTGGTTGTTTGGTTTTAGCTGGTCGACCAGGCTGGTTTTAGAGGGGTTTTGGCCACTTCCAGGCTGGTTTCCAGCCATTTCCAGCCTGGTCTTAGCTGGTTAGGCTGGGAGATGACCAGCTAAAACCAGCTTGACCAGCCTAGCAGGCTGGGAGCCCAGCCAAAACCAGCTATGTCCAGCTTAAACCAGGCTGGTCAAGCTGGTTTTAGCTAGATTTAGCTGGTCATTTTCCAGCCTGACCAGCTAAGACTAGACTGGAAATGGCTGGAAACCAGCCTGGAAGTGGCCAAAACCCCTCTAAAACCAGCCAACCAGCCTAGGCTGGTTTAAGCTGGATTTTTTTAGCAGGGTTAGCCTCAAATAATGAGGTACAAATATTGTTAGTGACATTTTGCACCAATATGTGCTAGATTAGCTTGCGAATACTTCCTACATTTTAGTCAAAGTGCTTATCATACTATTTTTTGTTTACAAAAACTTATGTTTAATTACAAATGTGCATTTAAACTGTAATTTATTAGTAATTAGTTATATATAATGAAATGTGATTAGAATTAAGGAAATATATAAAAATACTTATTTTTAAATGCTAATTTATTATCATCCATCATAAACAACAAACAAACAAATTGGGAATGTTAAAACTTGTTTTAAATGAAAACCCTTAGCCTATAGACAAATAACAAACTACATTTCAAGAGTTCACATTTAGCTGATGATTGATAAAAAAGCGTATTTAACATGCTGTCCTGGAAGAGACCCCTGAGCTCAGGATATCCTCAAGCCCGAAGCTCCCTCCCGTTTGAAGGGCGAGAGGGGAGTTTGAGCTCAGGTAGATCTCGAGAACTTACCTGCTTGTGAACATGCTGAGATATGAGTTTGTCTTAAGATGCTACTTTGGAGTAGTCAATGTGCAAGTCTTTGGACAGTGGGAGGAAAACGGGAAACCTGGGGAAAACCCACGTGAGCAAGGGGAGAACATGCAAACCCCACACTGAAATGTCAACCAGCCTAGTGAGGTGGCCGAACCACCGGCGCTCTTGCTGTGAGGCGACAGTGCTAACCACGCCGCCCTATCAGCTGAAGGGGAGGAGTAGGGGTGGAAGGGGGGATTAACAGCTGTGTTCAATCATAAGCATGTGAACTTCTCGAAATTAGTTTATAAATAAACCACACCTAAATAATAAAAGGCTTCTTCTATTGGTTATTTTTTACAATTTATGATGGCACACTTTCAAAAATGGAACAAACAAATTCATATAGGAATTCATATAAATTGTGAACCGCCTGGCTATGGGCCTGTCTATTGTAGTACAGTGCAGAAAATTACCATATTGGTTAATGTTTAAGCTTTAAAAACTTGCTGGCTGGCTAGGCTGGCTGGCTGGCTGGTTTTAGCTGGTTGACCAGCCTGGTTTTGGAGGGGGTTTGGCATCTCCAGGCTGGTTTCCAGCCATTCTCCCATCAGGCTGGAGATGACCAGCTAAAACCAGCTTGACCAGCCTATAGCCAGACTGGAAGCCCAGCCAAAACCAGCTATGTCCAGCTTAAACCAGGCTGGTCAAGTTGGTTTTAGCTGGTAATTTTCCAGCCTGACCAGCTAAGGCTGGAAATGGCTAAAAACCAGTCTGTAAATGGCCAAAACTCTTCTAAAACCAGGCTGGTCGACCAGCTAAAACCAGCCATCCAGCTTAGGTATTCCTAACTACAGTGATAACGGAAACAAAACACACATTAAAATCACAACATATTAATAATAAATCACAACATATATAATACTTTACTATTTTATGGTTCAAAACACTAGCCGTTTACTTTAGTAGTATTACTATACAATATTTTTTTATGTGGGTTGTTTCCCCTAAATGTTTGGAGTAAAATATAAAGGTCTCACCCAATTGTATTGGTTATTGCTCCTATTATTATTGTTGTTGTATTAACTTGCTATAACAGGAAAAATAAATACATTAAAATATGCTACAGCAGATTTACTAAATGAAATATCTAACAAAAAGTAAACAGTACAAAAAAAGCCTCAGGGGAAGACATTTGTTCAGTTAATGTCAGCATTCATCTGATAAAATGCATTTTTTCAACAAAACGTTCAATTTAAAATCGCAAGAGAAGAGATAAAAGCACAAATATTTTTATTTTAGTTTCTTTTTTTTTAACAAATTATGTTTGCTATAAACAAAAAAATATTTACAAATTCAAATCACATTGTACTGATAAGGTTAAGCAGTGGAAGTTCCACAAATAAATTTAAAACCCCACCAGCACATGGATATACATTCAACATGAAAACACAGAGATTCAGTGACTTACTTAAAAAGGACACTTCATACAATTATGAAAAACCTGTCACCATATACTCAAGCTCATGTCGTCCATACAGCAGCTCACATTTAAAAGAAATGAATCATAAATTTGTTTTGTGATAAAAAATAAGCATACAAAACGTCTAATTATGATAAAATGATGACGGACATTATTGATGAACAATGCTATCTTCATTACACTGCTCAAGCCATAAAACTGGCACACATATCATGTCCAGTGATTATTTAACAGGCTGCAAGGCCTGAGAGAACGTTCAAAACTTCATCTGATTTTTTTCCCACAGGTTCAGCATTCAAGCTTTCACTTCTAGCTATATTTCTAAAATCTAAAGTGCGGGTTTCACCAGAGGAACTGAAAATAACGGATTACAGCTTTATAACTATAGTGTCTTTATCAATAAATCGCATTAGACAAAACATAAATAATCATATTGATCAATGTGCCAGAGACATATACACAAGCATAGTCTTGTTAGACAAACCAACAAGCGTGCTATTCCCTTAGGCCCCGTTTACACTAATGCGTTTACGTTTTAAAACGCATACGTTTTGCTACGGTTGCGCCATCCGTCCACACTACGCCGGAGTTCTCAAATGCCGAAAACGGAGTGTTTTGGAAATGCTGGAGAGGCGGTTTTCATTCTAAAACGCTGCTGCTCCGTCTCAGTGTGGATGAGGCAAACGGAGACATCTGAAAACGGAGGCGGGACTGCTGAGATTCGCTACCTGATTGGGGCTTTTGTGTCATTGCGTATGCTTCCCTTATTCGTCAAGTCCCTATCACATGACTATAATACAAGGCTTTAACGCGACCGGAAGACAGCACTGTAAACAACAACATGAACACAGAAATGGAAGCGTTGTTTGCACTATTGTCTGTTTTAGGCACCATTGTTCAGTTATTCATTTGTCACGTTTAGTAACAACTCGACCTCGTCGTCTGTCCACAAAAATACCTCTCTTGCCTCCGTTGCCATTGCGTTCAATGTTCAACCGGCGTTTGTTGACTAACAATAACCAAATGCTGAGCATGACGCATGCTTTCTGTTTATACTAGAATGCGCATGCCCAGAGTGCGCAAATGGTCACGTGATATACGTTTTTGGTAGCATAGTGTGAACGGAGATATGTTCAGAGACGCTAGGTGAAACGCTAGTGTGGACGCGGATTGTTTTTGATCTAAAACGTTGTTTTAAAACTAAAACGCACTAGTGTAAACGGGCCCTTAGCCTGGTCTACAAAGCAAATATTACTCAACAACAGAATTTCACTTTGCAGTTGATGTCCATTTCAAGACCTAAGATTCCTAAAAATGTCCACAGCAGGAATCAGAGGCCTTGAAATGAACTAAATTCAGCATATCATCTCAACAACATATCTAACGCCCCATCCACACGGGGCATCAGCGTCAACGCTTCCCATTCATCCGGATCCGCCGCTTTAGAGGTGTGCTTGCTGCAGAAGTTGGGACTAACTTTTCAAGCGCCGATGGAAGCGTCAGCCAATCAGATCGTTGTATGCAAATACACCAGCTAGACAGTGGCCTATTGCTGACTGAATTTCATTGGCTGACGCTGCTATGACGATCGCGTTAGCCCCAACTTCGGACACGCCCTCAGTCAACCGCTGATGCTGAAGCCCCATGTGAATGGGGCGAAAGATATTTTCCTCTGGTCCACAGCATGAAGCTTAAAAGTAGCATTTTTGTGAAACTTCTGGGTCTTTGGTGAAATTAATGAACCACTAATCTGTAAAATAAAAAAAAAAATGGAGCCATGAAGAAACTAGCCACATAAAAATAGAGGCCAAGAGACTTCCAGTGTAAAAATCCCATTGTGGACATTCAGGCTCAGCAGATCCAGCAAAGCCAGAGGTGCACAAGTTACGCTAGGATATTGCTCTGAGAGAGCTTCTTCATAGGGATAGAGTTGTCTCTGCCATTCTGTGCTATGTTTCCATTTTGCGCACTAGGCTTGGCATCCTTCAGGCTATAGCGGCCCATCTTGGCAGTTTTGTAGTAGATCGAGTAGATGAAGATGAAGATGACTGAGATGAACGCCACTGTGATAGCAATAAGTCCTGCTATTAAGGGCAGGTAATCCTCTGTGGAAAAAAGATGAAATAAATAAAGCAAACAATAAAGTGATTGATGAGTTACTACTAAAGAAATGAAATAAAAGCCTGAAACAACATGACATGATTGATGCTTGTTTCATTACGCAATTACCTTTGGTTAATTCTGTAACGGAAACTAAATAGTTGGTTTAGAAGTAAAGAAATGAAGTGGTGATCATTATGAAAGATCTCATTTGAGATCATAATAGCAACCAATGTTTGCTTTGTACTTCTATAGAGCCCCTAAAGGGACATGCAAGCGGAAAAAATATGAGATGGGAAAGAGAAATATTTTCCAATTCATTTGCACCATCTTGCAAAATCAGTCAATTTCCGACAAACTCTTCCTGTGCTTTTCACATCTTGCAGTGGTCGACAGTTTTCTACATTCACTATGGAGCAGTTCATAGTTTTCTAACCTATTGAGAAAGCGATAGCCTATTAAAACAGACCAAAATCAGTAAAGTTTATTAAAGTTAGGTTGTTATTAGGGGCGTCAGTGGGTAGCACAATCACCTCGCAGCAAGAAGGTTGCTGGTTTTCCAGGTGCTCCGGTTTCCCCAACAAGTCCAAAGACATGTGGTATAGGTGAATTAGGTAAGCTAAATTGTTCGTAGTGTATGTGTGTGAATGAGTGTGTATCGATGTTTCCCAGTGATGGGTTGCTTGCAGCTGGAAGGGCATCAGCTAGATAAGCAACATATATTGGATAAGTTGGCAGTTCATTCCGCTATGGCAACCCCAGATTAATAAAAGGGCTAAGTCAAAAAGAAAATGAATGAATGAATGAATAACCAACTGTTGGGTTTGAATTAATGAAGACTGTTATTATTATATGTAGGTTATTATTATAGGTTGATTCTATTCTTCAGCCAAGCATAAAACTAGGCGATGTTTACTGAGACGATAACTGGATTACAACAGTTTACCCACAGTTTCTGTTTTAGCGTTCCTAAGGTAAAGTTGAAGTCAGAATCATTAGACCCCTGTTAGTTTTTTCTCCAATTTTTGTTCAAAATAGAGAAGTTTTTTTTTAACACATTTCTGAACATAATAGTTTTAATAACTTATTTCTAATAACTGATTTATTTTATCACCGTAACGATGGTGCAGTGGGTAGCACAATCGCCTCACAGCAAGAAGGTCACTGGTTGGAGCCTCAGCTGGGTAAGTTAGCATTTCTGTGGAGTTTGCTGTGTATCCTCCAGGTGCTCCGGTCACCTATAGCGCATGTAAAGGGTTGCAGCTGGAACATATGCTCAATAACATATGCTCAATAAGTTGGCGGTTCATTCCACTGTGGCAACCCCAGAATAGTAAAGAGACTAAACCGAAAAGTAAATGAATAAATGAATGAATAACTCAATTCCCAATGCAAAAAAATCTTAATTTGCTTTGTTTCATTTCTAGTGAAAAGTTAAAAATAGTTTTGTTTTCACCTTTTTTTCTTAAAACAAGCTAAATTATCTGCCAGTGGGGAAAGTAAATTAGGCTAGTAGATATTTAGACTAGAAACAAGACAAAACTTTTTTATCCGAATAAATACTCAAATGAAATTATTCTTTCTTACACTTTCAAACATAATTTGTTTGTGCCCAAATGTTTTAGACTGTCTTGAATACTTAGTCAGAGGCCTTAAAAACAGAAGCAAATGATCACCTTCACTCTATTATGGTTAAACTTAGCAGTGTCTCGGCAAATCGCATGTGTTCTGTTGCTCCTGCTCAACGAAAACTCAGACTCAACATTGCAGATCTTGCGATGTGACTATTGCAGATGCACACATTGCGATATCGATGCTAAAACGATATATTGTGCAGCCCTGGTGATATATGTATTGTCCATTACCAAATATAATTGACAGAGGTCATGTCCATGTGTTGTGCCATAAGTCGATATATTGATTACTGTGACAGGTCTAAAAAGGAACATCGTTTTTTAGATCTGCTAATGTCCTGATCAAGAGAGTAGATTAGCTCTTGACAATGGGGGGATATACAGTTGAAGTCCGAATCATTAGCCCTCTTGAATTATTAGCCCCTCTGTTTATTTTTTCCCAATTTCTGTTAAACTGAGAGCAGATTTTTTTTCAACACATTTCTAATCATAATAGTTTTAATAACTCATTTCTAATAACTGATTTATTTTATCTTTGTCATGATAACAGTAAATAATATTTGACTAGATATTTTCCAAGGCACATCTATACAGTTTAAAGTGACATTTAAAGGTTTAACTAGGTTAATTAGGTTAACTAGGAAGGTTAGGGTAATTAGGCAAGTTATTGTATAACAGTGGTTTGTTCTTTAGATTATTGAAAAATATATAGCTTAAAGGGGCTAATAATATTGACCTTAAAATGGTGTTTAAAAAAAATTAAGTATTCTCCAGAAGAAAAAATATTATCAGACATACTGTGAAAACTTCCCTCCTCTGTTAAACATAATTTGGGAAATTTATAAAATAGAAAAAAAAATTCTGACTTCAACTGTATATCCATAGAGTGCATGCATTGAACATCACAAACTCTGTTTTGTGCTTTTAAAGACGTGAATAAATTAGTTATTAATAATATTAAATAAACACTTAATAATACAAATAACAATCATGTCCAATGCTGCAAAATCCAATTTACATGATTTTACTACAGTCAGGCTTCGAGAAGGTATGAATTTAGAGAGGTGTGTGACGCAATTGAACTGTTTTATCCCGATTATTGTTTTTCATAATCATGGAGGTCAAAATGGAAACCGAAATTGGATGAATTGGTTAATAGTATAACGATGAACTCGTAGCGTCTTTGTGCATGTTTAGGTTACGGTTACTAAGGGTTGACAGACCATTATTTTATTTTGAAGTCAATTAAATTATGGCGACGCAGTGGCACAGTAGGTAGTGCTGTCGCCTCACAGCAAGAAGGTCGCTGGGTCGCTGGTTCGAGCCTCGGCTCAGTTGGCGCATTTCTATGTGGAGTTTGCATGTTCTCCCTGTGTTTGCATGGGTTTCCTCCGGGTGCTCTGGTTCCCTCCACTGTTCAAAGACACGCGGTACAGGTGAATTGGGTAGGCTAAATTGTCCATAGTGTATGAGTGTGTGTGTGAATGTGGAAGGGCATCCACTGCGTAAAAACGTGCTGGATAAGTTGGTGGTTCATTCCGCTGGGGAAACCTCGAATTAATAAAGGGACTAAGCCGACAAGAAAATGAATGCATGAATTAAATTATTGGTAGGGACATTTCGGTACTTGGCGGATATTGGTGGGACACGTCCCCCTCCGTCCACGCCAATTCCACTACATCGGTCCTGATACAGAAATCCATGAAATTCAGTAGGGTGTCTTATTTTTTCATATGGCATGAATGTTAAGGTTGGAAATGTAAGCCAAAACATGCTAAATATATACCTTTTAAGATCACTTTTACTTCTCTGCGGACGGCGTCAATGGAATTGTTTGCAACGCACACCACGTTCTCAGGCGTGGACTCTGTTACGGTAAGATATTCCCTGTAAATGATTCCATTTTTGTGCTTCCAGCTGATTATTGGTTTTGGCTTTCCGTCAGCTATACAAGAAAGATTCACTGGATAACCTCGAAACACAGGCACCACAGAGGGCAGTATGGTCTCATTGATGACCGGTTTAACTACAGGAAGAGGAAAAAAAACATGAATATTCATAATAAAGATTAAGAAAATTATATAACATTTGTGTTTGCACAAAAACATGAAAAACTGACAAACCGTTATACTTACAATTTACAGTAATGTTGACAGACTTTGATATTTCCAAAGGTTTCAGCTCAAACTTGTACTGAGCTCCATCGTCATATCGTTTTGGATGGATCAGGAGTATAAAGGTTTTATTGACTGGACTCTCAAATGTGTTAGTGAAGTTGGTTTGAGTCACCAGAGTTTCTCCTTTGTACCAGTTGACAGTGAGACTCTGAGCCGCAGGCACATTGTAAACGTCACACTGGAGCTCATACTGGTTTCCCTCTATCATTGGTTCAATGTAATTCACAGCGCTGATGGAAAAGTCTGAAAGACATATTAAGCATTATATAGTAAGCTGTGCAAATACATTACCCCAGTGTATCTCAAATACTTTAAAAAAATGCTACAATATCAATACTTGTCAATACATTTAAAAAAAACCTGCTTAGACTGACTGGTAGCCATCCTGTAGCTGATATATTGCTCTTTGACCCCCAATGACCATCAGTCACGCTCTAAAATGTTGCAACAGTCACCATTACACTCACAGGACTCTTACAGGAGTTATAATGTAAAAGCCAAACACACTGGCTTAATTCCATTTTCCTATTTTATATCGTGCAAATTGACGCTGGGCTAATGATTACAATACATTTCTCTTATGCCGAGTTCAGACTGCATGATTTTCAAAGTAGTCGTGTCACAGATGTTTTCACACTGCTTGACTGTCTGGGCTTGTGTTTCGTCGCTGCTTTGTTTACACTGCAAGATGGATCGGCGACATGGACATTCACATTGCATGACTTTACTATAGGAAGAATCGCCGACAACTTCGTCCAAACTACCTCTCACAGCCAAAAACACGTGTATATATTTTTTGTTATTAACTACATAATGAGAAAGAAGCCTTTAATGGGGTAGAACATGTACATGTTTGCTCACCTGGGTTTAAAGGGAATTAACAATTTCTCCTCAACGTTGATAATAAACTAATTTCTTTCTGTATGAAACGTCAAACAGACACGGTTGCTCCTGAGTCCAGTCAAACCTCCACTAGTTTTTCCTCCATTACTTGGGTCCAAACAAACCGAAAAAGAGCGCTTTTAACTTCTCCCCCAGCCTCCCGCTGGCCTGCAGCAGGTATACACACACGCACACACAAGTGAAAGCTGCTCTCTCATTGGCTGCAGGCGATGGCTGATGTTATTTTCAGTCAAAACTCAATTCACACGGCATGATTTGAATCGCCGACAGCTCCAGATATTTAGCATGCCAAATATCTCACAGGCATCGGCGACTCATCGGCGATTCTCTCAGATCGCGTCTTTGAAAGTTCATATTGTGTGATTGTCATTCACGTGCACGAGCGGCGATTTGCCTGTGATTTCAGGCATTTGTCGGCGATTTCTCAAAACCTGTCGGCGAGCCAAAATCGGGGCTAAAATCACGCAGTCTGAACTAGGCATTAATCTCTGTTAAAAAAAGTTTACACCAATTTGCTGGTTTTGTCTAAGTTATACTGACCAGGCTGGTGAAAAATCACATAAGCTGCGTCCCAAATGGCACACTACACACTATGTACTTATGCACTTACACACTCAACAGGATAGTATATGTATGTAGTGTCGTCCCAAATGGAGCACTAATTTTTTTTACTAAGCGGAAATTCAAACAGTTTCCCTGATGACGTTTGACGGTTGCCAAATCAGTGAAATAAACGACCGATTAATCAAATAATACCTGCCATGAGTATAACCGCAGTCACCATCAGCAGGCGCTATAATCACTCTCGTAGAGAATTTTTCTTTCACCATCCAAAATAAATAAATTTATCCAACATGTGCGCCCGATAGCTCCGCCCCTTCCGCTATGTGAGCAAAGCTGCGGTCGTTGAGCGAGTGAAGTGTCCAACATTACACACTTCATTTTAGTGGCTGAATGAGTGCATCATCCGGGTAATTAAAGTGCACTTATTACTTTTAGAGTTTTCAGTGTGAACACACTACTTACACTATTTATACTACAAAATGGCGTAGAATAGTGCAAAAGTATGCGATTTGGGACGCAGCTTTAGAGAGACAGTTCATACTAAAATTAAGGTCATGCAAGAAGTAGATGACATGTTTTATTCACTACATAAATGATGACGCTTTAAATGCAGGTCAGCACTACAAGCACTTTGAGAGTACCACAAATATACAGGCAAAGCAAAATGATTCCTGATGATACTCTGATATCATATGAAGTCAAATGATAGGACTGTGCTAAATTAGAGTATCCAGATTAAAAGCAAGTAACATTTTAACACTATAATACATGCATCCTGCCTCTCCATTAGCTCCCATGACGTACAAACTTTAGCAAAAAAATAAGCTAGCCGAGGGCGTGGATTCCATAGATAAATACACTAGATATCACATACGGACCCTGAGCATGCGCCATATTTGTACAGTGCTCCCAGGACAAATGTCATTCAACCGCACTAGTCAAGACCAAAGCCCATGTGAAGATGCTGAACTTTAGCGCTGTGTGTGTAGTAACGAGCAAACAAAGAAAACAAAGCACAAAGGCAGAACACTTCAAGATTTTGTTTTTTACGTTTTTGTGTTACGAACTTTTGTGCTCAACAAGTAATATTATTAATGATAATACAGTCACTTACTGCGCTGTCCATAAGGCAAAGTAGCCCCCACTTGCTCTAAAGTCAAGGCTTATGCTAGTTTTGTTGAATAAAATAAGCAAACAACGTAAATGAAACATGACAACAAGATGCTGCGGTGCTAGAAACTTGTATTATTGTCGGCTAAGTGAACGAGTCGGTTATAACGGGGATTCATTCACAAACAAATCGCTCCCTCCGTTAGAATGAAAATGAAAACGGGAGAGAGCGTGTGTTTCAAGACATGGATTAGATCAAATTTAACAGAAAGCAAGATTAATACATCTCCATGCACACAAACACACACTCTTTGTCGGCAATGCCCATACGATCACTTGTCCATCGATGTAGAAAAGAATAGAAAAGTGATGTAAAATGATAATTTTTGAAATTTAAAAAAATACTTGCATACTGACCATTGGGAAAACTCCCGATCATATATATATATATATATATATATATATATATATATATATATATATATATATATATATAAACATTTGTGCATATATCTCTTGCTCTGGGTGGCCACAGTCCTCCACTGCACCTTGGTCCAGCATTCATTTCAAAGGAGCGCAACCCTGTACTAAAATGGCGGCTAAATTGACCGATTCATTCCGGTAGACAACAACAGGGTAGGCAACATCTAAGGTAAACATCTATGTGTAGATTCAAGGTAATAACTAGCATTTACTTATATTTACTTATTGTTTGTAAATAATGTTCCACTTCCAGCACAGACTGAACATTTGACATACTGTAATGTCATCTCAGCAGGCACAACATGTCAACACGACATTGATTAACATTGTACCCCAACGTCATGGAACGTTGCATTTTGTTTATTCATTCATTCATTTTCTTGTCGGCTTAGTCCCTTGATTAATCCGTGGTCGCCACAGCGGAATGAACCGCCAACTTGTCCAGCAAGTTTTTATGCAGCAGATGCCCTTCCAGTCGCAAACCTTCTCTGGGAAACATACACATGCACACACACACTCATACACTACTGACTATTTAGCCTACCCAATTCACCTGTGCCGCATGTCTTTGGACTGTGGGGGAAACCGGAGCACCCGGAGGAAACCCACGCGAACACAGGGAAAACATGCAAACTCCACACAGAAACGCCAACTGAGCCGAGGCTCGAACCAGCAACCCAGTTGCTGTGAGGCGACAGCACTACCTACTGCGACACTGCTTCGCCCTTGCATTTTGTTTGGAAATGAAAATAGGCTTGACATCAAAACCCAACGTCGGGCCAACGTCAATGTTGAACAGACATTGCATTTTAGTTACTTTCCAATGCAACCTTAAAACAACAAACTATCAATGTCTAATGATGTTACAGCTTGACATTGTGTGGGCGTTACCACTATGACGTCTATCAGACGTCGCAATTTGGTTGCCATACCTGTCAAATAAATGTCAGTCTTTGACATCAGTATTACGTTGGTTTAAGATGTTGACTCAATGTTAGATTTTGGTCACTTCAACACAACCTAAAATCAACAAGATATCAACATTTCTTGTCATTATCCAACGTCAAATTAACATTGTCCTTAGATGCTGGCAACCTAAATCTAACCTAATATTAACATCTTATGCTCGTCTATCGTCCATGGGCAGTAGAGCATTCACCCGCTCTTTCCCCCAGCTTTGGAACTCACTACTACCTGCCATCAGAAACACTGACTCCCTTACATTATTCAAAAAAAAAAACAAAAAAAAAAGCAGTATCTACACTACTGTGTATATTTTTATATTATTTTCCTTGTTTTATTGCTTGTTTCATTGTACGGTGTCCTTCAATTGCCAGAAAGGCACCTTTAAATAAAATGTACCATTATTATTATTGTTTTTATTATTATTATTATTATGTTGTGTGTCTGCTGAGATGAGTCAACGGCTTTAATTTTGTTCTGCCTGTATGTTGTGTTTTCTCTCTTAAAGTGCTGGGAGCTTCTGACCTGCATTTCATGAGTACAAACAAATGTTTACCTTTCCATGAAAAAAGTTTCCACGTTTTTTTTGTAAGCTTGTATTTTACAGGACGGTAAAAAGACTCAAAAAGGTCTCTGTCAATGTTCTCAAAGAATTATTTGATTTACCAAAGTCACAGAAGATGCTAATTTCACATCTGTCACATCCATAATTGAATAGACGTCACATCAAAGCTTTTTTCCTCATAAATACAAAAATGTTACATAAAATAAAATCAATCATGTTTGTTCTATAGAGAATCAACTTGTTGCCTTTTGATAATCATTATTTATTTTGGGTTGTGCAGTTTAATTCACAGAATGTCTACGAAGTATGTTGTATACTATAAACTCGCATACTTTTTTGATCACATCCATAACGCATGCTTATTTTCCTCATTTAAAGTTTAAAAAATGTTTACAGATTGACATTTTTCTGATGCAAAACTACCAACCACAGAATTAAGGGAAACCATAAACAGATGTTTCAAAATAATTTTAACATATACTTTTTGTGAGTTTTAAGTTTTTACTGCAAATGTCACATCCATAATGCTGGAATTGCTCCAAGGATGATAATAATAAATAAAGTCACCCTACATCAGCTGGAGCTAACTTTTAAGGCTACTTTTAATTTTTGGGTGAACTGTAAGCAAACAACCCATTTTAGTTCAATCTTTTAG